TTGTTACGTGTAAATGTTTATTATTTATTATCTAAGTGATAAATATTATTTATTTATCTCTTTAATAAATGTTTATTATTTATTTTTTCCTTAACGTGATATAATCTAAATTTGGTTATTATGTTTTTAAATTCAAACATTTAAAGGAAAAGATCACAAGCAGATTTTTTGGGTACATTTCATTTTATCTTAACTTCCATATAATCACATTCCTAACAAACTAATTGATATAATTACATTTATCTAACTGGAATTTTCAAAATATAACTAATATAATATTTTAACTAATTAATCATTTGTCTTACCGAATTTATCTCATTAACAAACTTGCCAAAAAATTTTAAATTAAAATCACTCAAAACGAACAAAGTTCGAATACAAGGTCCATTGTACATAACTGCATCGAAATATAAAAATGAGAGGCGCACCATAATGTAGCCTAGAACCTCAACAAGAGAAATCCGGGAATGATGACCAAACCAGAAAATAAAATCAATGAGATAGACTTCCTACCACTGCAATGAAGCCTAGCAAAGAAGTCTACCTCCTACAAAAATAGAGAAAAGCAAACTAAGAAGCTGAGGAAAAAGCAAGCCAATCCCACTGAGCTACTTTAATCAACATGAATCCCGGCATGAGAGACTTTTGAAAAATCCAGATGTTCCTAGAATTCCAAAGCCACCAAAGGATGTATGTTGACAGTTGAATCCTAGCTTCGGCCACTTCAGAGTGATCTAGTGAACAAACTTGATACCAACATGCTTTGAATGAATCAGTACAATGGAGAAGTCCATCCCAATGTACAAGAGATAATTTCCAAGTCTGAATAGCTCTAGCACAAGAAAAAAGAACATGTTCAACAGTCTCTGTAGGCTCACCACAAATTTCACATATAGGATCAATGTTCACTTTCCTTTTCTTCAGATGACTTGCCACAGGTAGTGTGCCAGCTGGAAGACATTTCCATAAAAAATGCTTCAATTTCCCTGCAATTTTCAGCTTCCAGTGTCTAAATTAAATGGCCTGGAAAAGAGTGGCATGTGAGCTGCTTTCTGGTATGTCTAACTGAGAGAGTTTGATCTTGGACAGATAGTCATAAGTGCTTGAGACTGTAAAGTGCCCTTTCTTCTCCAAACCCAATACAGCCTGTCTTTTCTGTCAGGATTAAGTGTAGAAATTTTAAGTATTGCTTCACTGTCTACAACATCAAAAATCTGCTCACCAACCAATCATTCCAATGCTTCCCATCATCTTGCAATAACTCATGAACCCAAATCAGATGTCCTCTAGCAATTGGAATCAGAGTAGGTGAAAGCTTATGAAGGTGAGGCACCCAGTTGAAGTCTGAGATTCTTGTATCTGCTCTAGATCTGATTTCAATCTTCAACCATTTGGAGAATGTAGGCATCATTTCCATCCAGCTATTCCACATTCAAGAGCCACTTTGAGATTTGAATGCATGTTTGATATATGAATGTTGAAAGTATCTGTCTTTAAGAATCTGACTAACCAGAAGGTCAGGGTTAGATTCAATTCTCTGTAATTGTTTGCCAATGAGAGACTAGTTAAAGACTTGTAAATCATGGAAACCAAGTCCTCCTTGCAATTTGGGTAGAGAAAGATACTTTCTGCTTTCCAATAGATTCCTTTAGCTTGCTGATCTCCTGAAGCCCACCAGAATTGAGCACAAAGTTTTGAAATTTCTGCACAAAGAGATAATGGGATTTTGAAGCAAGACATTGAAAATATTGGTAATACCTGAATCACTGCCTTAAGCAACACTTCTTTGCCTGTTGGGCTGAGAAGCTTGGATTTCCAACTACTGAGTTTATTTATGACTGAGGTCAACAGATAATCAAACACTTCTTCCTTCTTGGACTTGCCAATGCCAAGTGAAAGGCCTAAATATCTTGTAGACCTATGAGGAACAATTTCATTTAAAATTCTGCAAGTGGATGTCTGAACCTGCTGAGTAGTATTCCTACTAAAGAAAATGGCAAATTTCTGCAGATTGACTGTTTAACCTGTAAAAAGTCTGTATTTCTCAAGAATGATCATGAGAATTCAGCTTGATCTGAACCAGCCTTACAAAAGAGCAATGAATCATCTGCAAAGAGTAGGTGGGAGAGCAAAGGACCATTCCTTGATCATTTCAAGTCTCTGAGCATGCCAGAATCAATAGAATGAAGAATCAAAGTTGTTAGCAATTCTGCAACTATTACAAACAAATAAGGGGAAAGTGAAAATAATAAATGTGAAAATAACATAATCAGAACAATATACAATTTTAAAAATAATCTAACTTTTATATATATAGATATATATATGTGTGTGTGTGTGTGTGTGAAAATAATAAAATGTCACTGCGCGAAAAATTAGAAAGTAACCATAATCAGAACGATATCACCGTCCCTTAGACCAGTCTGAAGCCTTGACGAGCCCTAAGAGCATCTACAATGCATTGGGTCTAGTATTGCCTTTGTGGCATGTAAATAAACCTAAGTCTTGTATGACATGGATAAAACTATGTAAAATTGATAAAATCCACTTCAAAGAGACTAGGTCTCTACTTAGAAACTACATTTTTTATACTAAGTCTATTTCTTAAGTGGCATACAATTTTTTGTGATTGTAGATGCTCTAAGAGCACCCACACAACATTGAGTCTCTTAATAAAATATCATATGCCACGTAAGAAATAGACTTAGTCTATAAAAAAATGTCTCTCAATGCAATTAAAAGTGGACATGGTCTAACTTATGTGACGATAAAAAAAAGAAGACCAAGTCCACAGTTGGGTCTATTTTGGACTCAAATACAAACCTGAACACTAATCAATCATTCTTAATTTAAATTTTCTTTTAATAAATGAAACATATTAGAGCATTTTTATTGGTTGACATGTATTGGAGACTTAGTATTTTATTTTGGCATTGAATAACTTTTAAGTTTTATTACTTGGGTTTGTCCATGTCATTTAGGACTTAAGTCCATTTATATGCCACATATATAAAATTAGACCCAATGTATAGAGCATCCACACTGCTTTTGGTTCAATCACAAAAAATTCTATGCTACCTAAGAAATAGATCCAGTCTAAAAAGAATATATTTTCCAATGCAAATAAAAGTAAACTATGTCCTGCTAACGTGACAGTCAGAAAAAAGAGACTCGATCTACCCTTAAGTCTATTTTAGACTTGAGTAGAGATCTAGTCTCTTGGCATTAAAGTGAATCTATATATATATAATTACAAGCTAATAGAATTTAATAAAACCTATTTTAATTTTACATATGTGGCAATTTAACAATTTTCCCTCCAAAAACCGTTACATTTTGATGTATTTAATCTTTCATTTAATCATTAAATAATTAATACTCATCACTTCAAAATTACAAAAATCATTTTAAACTTTTGATTAATGATAGTTGACCATATAATGTGTTGACCGTATAATGTGATTAGATGTTATTATTGTTGTTACATTTAATTTTTTTTTTTTTTGAAAATAAAAAATATATTTAAAATTCCTAAATAAATAATAAATAATTCACAAATAAAAGACGTACCAATATATACATTACATCCAATCAGATAAACGCAATTTAAAAAAAAAATATTCCAACTCTTTTAATTGTAAATTTGGTCTGCAAAAAAGTGAAAGAAAAATAACTAATCATGATATGTACATACTCACAATAATTTATTTATATCTGTACAAATGCACAGGTCGAATACTAGTTTTGTTAATTTGACATAGTTTTATTCAGGTCAAGACTTAGGTTTATTTACACTAGTGTGTACCCCGTGCGATGCATGGGAACAATATTAAGTTAACAATATTATAAATAGACCTTGAGTTTGAGTCACTCAATGGCGGAAGTGGAAACTACTATTGATCATATTTAAAAAGAGGAAGAAAAAAAAATTATAAATTAAAGAGAAGGATAAACAATACTTAATAATTATAAATTAAAGACTCGGGGTCAAACAATGTAAAATTATTTTGTATAAGAGAATATAAAAAAATTTGATTACACACTATTTCAAAAGTATTATTATACTTTTTTGTATGGTTAGCTTATAATATTTGTAAAAATATTAGTAATTAGACCTATGAAAATTAGCTTCTTAAAGTAGATAATGGATTTCTAGTAGTAATTATGAATTGGTTTCTATTTTATTTTATTTTTTCAAATCTGTATAGATAATGGATGAGATTTTTTAAACACCTGAGACGTATGCAATGAGATTTTGTAACAAAAGAGATAAGCTCGTGTAGATTTATACTAAAAATAGGAAAAAGAAAAACAAATATTTATTGTCAAGCAATGAGATTTTGTAACAGAAGAGATAAACTCGTGTAGATTTATACTAAAAATAGGAATTAGAAAAATAAATATTTATTGTCAAACAACGGTTTTGATAAACTAAAAAAAGGAAAAAAAGAAACAAATCTTTACACAATTAATGAGCCGATTTTTTTGCCTATTCAGATTTGTCCAACAATTACTATATATAGGATATATTTATTGATTTTGACGGGAAAAAGTTTCTAAATTTATAAAAAAGTTATTCTTTTTATATAATGATAGATTAGACTAACACTATGCATTGTAGAGCATCCACAATGCTTTGGGTCTCTTTTTGTATATGTGGCATATAATTGGACTTGAGTTTTAAATGACATAGACAAACCCAAGTAGAAAAACTCAAAAACTTTGCAATGCAAAAATAAATAGACTAGGTCTAGCATACATGTCAACCAATAGAAATGTTCTAATATGTTTTTATTCATTAAAAAAAAATTAAATTAAGAACAAATGATGAGTGTTTGGGTTTGTACTTGGTCCAAAATAGACCTAAGTGTGGACTTTGTCTATTTTTTTCATTGCCACATAAGCTAGACCATGTCCACTTTTAATTGCATTGAAAAATATTTTTTTATAGACTAAGTCTATTTCCCATGTGGCATGTGATTTTTTGTTAAGGGACCAAAGCATTGTGGGTGCTCGTAGATGCTATCCAACCGAACATCGAACATTCCAGGTCATGCGTTTATCGGAGATTAGAAAATCAGCAAGACATATATCAGGATGGTCGACTCCTCTAACTGTGGGAAATTGTTTCTGGCAATTATCGTAGCCGTACTTTTACTGTGTTCCGATGCAGTTCAGGCTAAATCTCGTGTCCCAATTACCGTAAGTATTAGATCTTTATTTTTCTCAAATATATTATTAGTTTTTTCGAATTGATTGATCGAAGCCCTATTCATCTTTTCATAGGACACTGAGATTCGACAGAAGAAAAACGATTGCTATGAAGACATCGAGAGGTACTGGGATCTCAATTTCATAGAATTTGTGTACTTAGGTTTGCCTTTGTTTTTTATAGTTCGATAAAGGTGCTT